ATTAATATTTATTAAATAAATTAATCCTATTTTAGAATAATTAGAATAAAATCCCGTTATAAATGGAATTCCTATCAAAGCTGATCTTGAAATATAAAAACTTACTATAGTAAAAGGAATTATATTCCCAATTATTAAATAAATTAATCCTATAATTAAATTTTTAGAATAAAATCCCGTTATAAATGGAATTCCTATCAAAGCTAATCTTGAAATATAAAAACTTACTATAGTAAAAGGAATATATTCATTTATATTCCCACAAAATCGAATATCCTGATTATTGTTTGTTAAATGAATTATAATTCCAGCACATATAAATAACAATGATTTAAAAATTGCATGAGTTAGCAAATAATAAAATGATAAATAATTTAATCCCAACTTTAAAATTATTATTATTAAACCCAATTGACTTAAAGTAGACAATGCAATAATTTTTTTAAAATCATTCTCAGAATTTGCCATTAATCCAGATATAAATATAGTAAAAATTGATACACACTACAAAATTTTATCTATTATTATTCTATTAATCAAAATTTTATTAAATCGAATTATTAAATAAACACCTGCTGTTACTAATGATGAAGAATGAACCAAAGCGGATACTAGTGTGGGAGCCGCTATCGCCATAGGTAATTCACAAGGTCAAACCAAGGTCACTATTGTACGTCCCCCTCAACATCATACAACTTTTATTTGAAAAGTTTTTTTGTAAAATTGCATATTTTTGAAATATTTGCCTGTTAAGTGAAATCCAATATTTCAAACGTGTAAATCTTGAAATTGTACCTATCAAACGATAATTTATAATTCCTATTCCACGTCGCTTCGATTCTTACTCGAAGTTTATAAATCATGTAAAATACCTACTTTGATAAATCGCCGTCGTTTCGTGTCGTCAACTGCGAGAATTAATTAATCGCGTTAGTATAATCGTTGATTATAATAATCGTAGAAGGAATGATATACGAGGTGTCCTAAAACTACCGTATTTCCTCTTAATGGCAGATTTCTTAGAATATTTTAAGACGAAAATCCTAATACAAAAAT